AAACCCAAAACACACATCAGCCCTGCTGTCGCACCCCAATATGGTGCAATGATTCCTGAAGCCCCGAGCTCAAACTTCCGAACCCACCTTAACTAGCGCCTTAGTCCGTTCCTGGTATATAAGCCAACATAGAGCCCCAATTAATATTAACCCGAGAGACAATATTAATACATAAGCCCGGACGATGAACAACAGCTGCCCCTTTTAAAACCCAAAACACACATCGACTCCTGAAGCCCCGACCTCAAACTTCCGAACCCACCTTAACTAACGCCTTAGTCCGTTCCGGGTATATAAGCCAACATATATAACCCGGCTCAGGCTAGAGCCCGAACACACAACCCTATTGACAGATATAAGCCCCGAAGGTGTACAACAGCTGCCCCCCTTTAAAACCAACAAGAAACATCAGCCCTGCTGTCGCACCCCAATATGGCGCAAAGACGCCTGAAGTCCCGAGAGCCCGAACACATAACCCTTTACGTCCTGTTATATATATATATATATATAGGACAGTGTACAACAGCTCTCCCCTCGCTAAAAAAAAACGACAGCACCGCTGCTATCGCACCCCAATATGGTGCTAATGTAAGGGTTGGGTTTCGGGGTTATTGTGCAGCATTTGTCACTGGAGTGAATTAATTGTAGGATTATGTTTATTTCTAGTCACGGGTGTTCGGGTATTGGCCATAGGACTGTAAGGGGAAAGGAGATCCGTGGCTCGATCTGGATCGATATCTCGTTGCTGTTTGTCGCTACAGCCAAGTAGCACTGCAGACTGTTGCATCTTACAACGTGTGTCGACACATGCATCGGTGATGTACGCATGCATGCTCCTGGAAGATGCGTAATACAGAGCACCCAGACCGTGGTATATGCTCGTATATTATTTTTTTCAGGGTGTGGTTTCGGTTCCTGGAACCTAAGCTGAACCCATGCACCCCAAACCCGACTCCCCCAATCTTGAAAAGCACCCTCACCAACAACCCGGAAAACCCTAATAGCCTCTGACACGAGCCATCCCGATCCTGGAAGATGCAAGCTAGTTTAAAACATCATGTGTAGACATATATATATATATATGTGCTGGAAACTTATAGTGCATGCAAGCATGTGTACACGAAACATCCGATGCATGTGCTGGCTTTTGCACAACAATTTATAATTGGATCTGAGGGCATGTGTTCTAGACATTTGCCCGAGGCTGCTGCTGCACAGGTTGTGGGTTGAGGCCGATCCTTATAAATGAATAGGAGGTTTGACGTTTAAGAGTCGGTGGTAAGGTCTCCTAGGCTTGTTGCATATACTTGTCTCCGGGATAAGTCCTGTACAGAGATGTCTAAGGGTACACAATCGATCTGTGCAGCACCGTTGCGTTACCGGACGAGCGAGATCATGCGATCCGGTGGGAGGCAACGAATCATGTCTGTGCATGTGCACACTCTCCATGTTTACCGATGTGTCTAGTGCTTATGAGGATTGCAGTCCTGACTCGAGTGCTGCAGTTACACGAAACAGTGGCCAATGGTAGTAGTGGAAATCTGTCACGGCCAGGCTCGCCAACAAACAGAGTTCATGCAAATCTCTGATCGATTAAACGAGAAATATAACATGGAAATCCGATCACTAGTACTCAGGCCTCCAGCCGAAGCCCCGTGTGTAATCTATACGTATATTTGTAACAGCCTCGGTCTCTAGCGTCTAAACCCCAGCCCTAAACCCGAAACCCTAAACCCCTAAACCCCTAAACCCTAAAACCCTAAACGTAGCAGCCCTCTGCTCAATAAACTCAGGACCCTGGACATTGGTATGGTCCGAGTAGCTCGCGTCTGCATCGCAGATCGAAGAACGTTGGTAGGATAAGCCATGCAGCCGATGTATACCTGCAGCATGGTACTGGGGGAGATTGCTGAGCCATGGACCTTATTGAAGAGCTTTTAGACATTTCTCATGCGCTTACTACCGAGAAGATCAAGAAAGTCGTGGACGCCATAGCTGCTCGAGTGCCACATTGCATGCTCCCGAATCTTGTTCCATACCGTAGTGATCCATGGTTACCGGGGTGTGTGGGTGTGACTTCATCTGGCATGGAGTGGTACCTGTCTCTACTAAACCTGGTGAGCCAAGGCGAAACCTGGTGGACCTTGCATCCTACAGTGTGGATCGAAACATCTTCCGCAACTTCAATCGCTGGGTCGATCGCCAGGAGTGGCGCAAGTCGCTTCCACACGCTCAAGCGTGTCTTGTCGATACCTCGAAGCCTGTACCCTGAAATTCAAGATGTCGTCTGAACTGCTGAAAGCCGAGGGTGGAGGTTATCCTACGTGACAAGAAGCTGCCATCGGAGGATCAACACTACATTGGCACCTGGCACATGCACTTTCCGCATGAAGTGACACTGGACTCCTTCTAATGATGGTGAGCTGCTGTGTCGTGTGCTTGCATTGTAAAGTCCTTGCGACCTGTCATTGCATCCGAGGTTCCATGTGATCCATGAATATTCCAGAGATCGATTCCAGGAATTCTTCTGTGGCGAGCCGGGCGTGCCTTGGATGGGCAAGCAATACAACGGAGGACCTGGTACATATAATTATCATAATTAATTTAGGTTTAGGGTTGTGCGTGTATACGTGCCTGCATGTGTAATTATTTAGGCATATTGCGGGTGGAGGGCGGGGTGCTTTCATAGATCTTTCTTGGGTTGTTCTAGGGTTGTCCTAGGGCCTGTATATGTATAATATCCACCGCCTTTGACCCTGAAACCCTGAAATCCCCAAAGTCTTAGGTTCGATGCCAAAAGATCCTGTGAATACCATCATGATAAAATAAATACTATAGTCTCTATTCCGTCCAACTCAGGAGCTGGAACAATTCTGGAAGCACACTCGCAATACCCAGCCACTCGATTGCACGATGACTGAATTTCAGGGCCTTGAACGTTTACACTTCGACTCTGGACTAGCACTGTTAGCCAGTGCTGGGATTGGGCTTCGGTTGTGTTTTGGTTGAGCAGGTAGAAGACTTCGGAGCTCTCAGCGTTAGGGGTTTAATGAATAATGTGAATTCAGGTTATCCAACCAGGTATATTTGGGGCTTAGGGTTTAGGGTGTAGGGTTTAGGCTTTAGGGGTTTAGGGTTTAGGGGTTTCGGGTTTAGGGTTTAAGGTTTCGGGTTCAGCAGCTCCAGTTCGAGCTATAGTCGAGCTGACTACACTGCAATTATATATATAATATATAGTTCTAGTCCCATCCTCTATAACCCGAACGCACAAACACCAAGCTCAGGTGGTTCCAAGACCATCCCTTGCTGCCGACTCTGTCAGAACCTGGGCTATTTTTTTTATATCCCTGCAAAACTCCATGCAATGTTGCAGCCAGCTACCTGGTTACCCTAGGACAACGAACTGCTGCGCACAATACCTCTTGAAATCCACGGCGACGACGCCCAAGCCCACAATCGCCGGGGGTTTTTGGTATTGAGCATGCGAAGTGCGATAACGAAGGGATCCACCCTGAACACATTGTTCCCTCGACAACGAACAAGCGGCGGACAGAACTGTGCCTCCTCGGCAGAAGTCATGCAGGAACTATATTGTTTTGCTGTGCATATTGCCATATTTACACTCTACATGGCTGTCAAGCACCAAGCAACCAGTGCGATCACCCCAGGTTGCCCAGCTCGACCATTATGTCGTCTGGAGCATCATGCAGCTCCAGCGTGGCTACACGGACAGCTTCGACGCCTGGGGAAATCCCGGCAGGGAGGTATACCAGCTTGCTGGCGGCTACCGGGCGGTGCTAGCGGGCATCAAGGGGGACCAACAGTGGGTCAAGAAGGCTCTATGCTTGGAGCAAAGCTGGGTCTCCAAGAATATCTGCTGGCATTGTTGCGCCGCTTGGACCGATCTACATTCAAGTAATACTCGCAAAACCGCCCCCAAGCCTGGAAAGTGACCTCTCTGCCAATATTTTTTTTTGCAAACTAATCCCTGAGGCGAGTTCCCTGCAGGAGTCCCCTTACCTCTACACCACACATGGGCCCGATGCTGCACATCGCTCGACGAGTTTCAGATGCACGACATCTATGCGGGACTGTCCGGAAATGCAAATATATATTTTTTTGTTTTATCCCGGACCACTATAATCTGTTTCGACATCTCAGGAAGCGTTCCCTAACAGATTTTATCTTCATGGCCCGCCGAAGTGCCTGGATCATGATCCCTGGCATCTCATTGGAGCGGATACGGCCGGATATCCTCCATATCCTTGATCTGGCACTGGCGCCAGAGGCAGCTGCGTCGGCTGCACGGCTATGGCATCAGTCCAGCTTGTGCAGGGAAGTGGAATCCGACTGTACAGGGTTTAGGTTTAGGGTCAAGGGTTTAAGTTCCGGATCTTGACAGATCGATACCAGCCGGGAGTGTTTATTCTGTAGAGCTAATGATTTATTGGGTGTCGGGCTAAGAAGAAAATGAGGATATTAGCTGCATGCCTGCATGGGTTGCAATTCGGGATCTGAATATTCAGCCTTTCACATTAATTAAAGAAGTCTTCATGTGTACGATAAATCCAGGTAAATATGTATTCATGTAATCGTGTCTACTTTGCCCAGCATGTCCAAACAGCGGATGTAGACTGCAGGTTTTCTTTGATGTAAATTCGGAGGGGTTTACCATATGGTAACTGCCGAGGGCCAGTTATGCATATCCTGTGATCTTAGACCCTAAGTGCACCTGAAAACATGTCAGGACAATAGATGTTCATTCAATCACGCCCGTGGCTTGCCCTGAATACCCTATACCAGTGAATGGAAAATCATGCTACGGTATCCTGCTAAGAACCTGCTCCTGCCCTAATACCCAGCTCCTGCCCTAGGCCCTAAACCCACCCGGATCTAATTCTAAACCGTTCTTTTTTTTCATAGAGGGGGGAAGATCCGAGGCGCTCTGGGAGCTCACAACCGACAAGAAAGTTTGGCCTGGATCTTCACAGGAAGCCCGCATGAGCCAGGCATATGCTGAGTATGTGGCTGCATGCAAGAGGAACAACGTTCGCGCCTTGGCTGCCTGGAGTTTCTAAAGCAGCTTGCATATCCGATCCTGTGCCCTAGAGTTCGATCCCAGGCCTGGGGTCGAAAGTGTCTTTGGGAAAGCATTGACACGCCATGTTCTCGAGCCATGCAGGATCCCGAGCTCCAGCTTTCAATCTGAAATCAATGAAGAAGAAGGGGGAGTTCCCTACCTTTGCTCAGAAGCATCTTTCCGGAGCTGCTCCGTGCCCGCACGCATTCGACTTTGTTTTCCTATAAGATATTCTAGAATTAGTCATGGCCGCATGCATTCGATATTTTTCCTGAGATCTAGTGTCGATCTATAGAGATCGTCTGGTTGGTGTGAAATGTCAATCGTATATAAGGCTGAGAGTGATTGAATAACACATCCATGGATCTCCAGGAATCGGTGGTGCTTATCAGGTGGCTGGCAAGTGTCACCCACCGAGTGGCTGCAGAGACCAAATTGCAACACGATCGAATTCGGGCAGCCCTCTTCCTGGCCCTGGCAAGCATGCGAATGGTTTTCACTTCCTGTGGCCTGATCATGGACAAGACCTCACTCAGGAAAGTGGCATATCACTGCGAGGTGTACTTCGACTCCTTATATTGGCTGGCGAACGAGGCGATCGGGAACAAGCAGCTCCTCTGGAAATTTCGCCCAAAATGTCATCAGCAGCTCGGCTATACGCTGAATCCGTGAACTCAATCCCAAGCATCAGGGTTTTTTCATGCACAATATGCTTTTGTGTGGCCGAAGTCCCGGGTTCTGACTAAGATTGGAACACCTCGTGTTCTCAATCCCAAGTATCAGGGTTCTTCATGCACCATGCTGATGTGTGGGTGAAGTCCCGGTTTGCGACTAAGATTGGAGCACCTCGTTCGCGACGCCGCACCGCTGCTCAACCCGATTCAAACGTCCAACTATAGTGAAGAGGACTTAGTTGGACGGATGAAAAGGCCACGAAGCTGCAATAGAATTGGTCTCTGGTGACCCTGGTGTGCAACAAACTCGTCCAGCACGACTCATTCTGTCGATCCAAGGTTGGCCCTGACCTGCCACCCTGCTGCCTTGGGGAAAACTGCGCTCCAGCGCTATGCTTGGCACGCCTGCGTGCGATGGCTTTCCGAAGAGGTCGAGCCGGCGTCGCGAGCAAAAAAGGAGACCGAGAGCAGCTCTGAGGCGAAACCAAGAATCCCAGGAGCCGAAGCACATACTCCAGAACAGGTGGAACTGTAAGTTCCGTAAGAGCTAGAGTGCTCGTCCTACAGATTGAAGACCCGAAGGAGGTGCAGCCCGAGAATCTAGGCCTTGGGCCTCTTGACTATCTAGCGATATGTGCTCTTGAACGACATGGGATGTTGTAAACCTAGATCTACATGTGTCTGAACTATACAACAGTGGAAGTCCCTTAGATGTGCTCCGTGCGAAATGACATGTATTTAGTCCTGGGCCCAAAAACACATCAGTTAGAAGGTCCTGGTATGCAAATACCCTAAACCGCAAACCCTATAAACCCTATAAGCCCTAAACCTCAAACCCTGTAAGCCTTAAGCCCTACCCTACTAAATCGATGACAAGTGTTGGGCAGAACTTGCCCGAGGTCGACAGTTTTTGACCTCAAGCTCTACCCTGGAAAACTGCGTGCATTTAGGGTTTAGGGTTTACCTGGGGGTTTAGGGCTAGGGGTTGAGGGCTTATAGGGTTTAGGAACCCTACGGGTAAAGGAAAACAAACCGAGCCCTTGCCGGAGACAGTGTAGAATTGGAGGCACTGTTCTTCAGAACCTGTGGAGGTGGAGATCAGAAGTATCTCAAGCTTTCTGATCTAAAGCTTCACACCTGCATGGAATTCTTGCATATCGGCGTGCCGGAAAACAACTTCACAAGCCGCAAGCCCTCAACACAAGCCCCCCGAAAGGAACAAGGCTCGAGTGCGCGGCTGCACGCAGATGCGCTCTGCATCTGTTGTCTCAAAGAGACCGCGGTCTTTCACCACCACCTGCTTGAGAATTCAGCAAGTTCGACACAGGGTTTAGGGTTAGGGTTAGGGTCTAAAGTTTAGGCCCTTAGGCTAGAGGGAAGTGATGCACAAAGAAGAGCGGCTTTCCGGCTGTACGTGGGCTTTTCGGATCTGCACGTTGCGCGATCCAGCACCTTGCTCTAGAAACTGCCTCTCTTCTCAAAACTCCTACGGACCCTAGAAACCGCCATAGTAGTGCCCTACAAGCCTATCGCCAAATCCTCAGAAACAAGATCACGTCAAAGCTGTTTAAGCCGACACAGCCGCGGTGCCCTACTAACTTACAGCTTTTAGCGGCACCGAAACATGAGAAAACGATCTTGCAGCTAGACAGGAATGCAAAACTATACGGACAAAGCAGTATTAAACTAACATGTATATCTCTATAGAAAGAAGAACAAAACTAATAAGAACAACAGTAAAACATGAAACGCTAGTAGTGATGGTAATTTTTACAATAACAACAATAACAATAGTATACATACACACATGCCTGCACAGATACCCACCTACCTACGTACATATATGCATGCATATACACATTTGTCTGCATATATTATATATATATATATGTATAAATACATAGATACCAAATATATTTAGATATCTGCACCGTCCGGCCTTGATCTGACGGTTGGGCAAGTCATCGTACATCGCGCCTGAGCATCTGCAGCAACATGTGCTTTGTGCTTTGGGAACCCTTTGGTGTTTTGGGGTGTAGAGATGTTTTGGAAATGAGCACCCAGGTTTAGAAGTTTGAACCACGTTCTTCTGTTCTCTCCAACAGGCATCCCGGCCGAATCAAACCAATTTTCCTAGCGACTCAAACATGTCTCATGTGATGTGCAGGGCTGTGCTCTCTATGTCTGTGTTGCTAGCTGGCAGACCAGCAATGCGATTAACCCTAAACCCCATCGATGGTTCTCGCTATGAACAGAGAACACCAAGGAATGGCACTGAACTCTCCGTGTAGTGCAGCACGTGGGGGTGCTACGAACTCGTCCCTCCCTACACCAGCCAGCAACAAAAGCCCTTTCCCTCAATTCATCATCAAAACCTGAAAGCCTGAATCTCAAACCCTCTAGCTCTAGCCTACCCGCGAATCAGTGTTCGGATTTCCATCTCCGGGGCTCACCGCAAAATTCCTGAACCTACTCTAAACCTCAACTTCCTAACATGCCAAAACAGTAGCCCTTGGAAAGCCCAGCAGCCCCGCGCCCTCACGAATTCTAAGCCCCAAACCCCGGATGCAGATTTTGCTTAGAGAACTCCAAACCCAGAACTGTCTCCAAACCTCGGAATCCAAGATGTGCAAGCGATGTTGAGCTTCAATAATCTAGCATCCGTCTGTCCGGAGTCTCCAGGGATCCAAAAGGAAGCCGAGACACGCCAGCTACTGCAGTCAGAGTCTGTGAGGTACAGCACCGCCTCTTCCCATCGAATTATGTTAATCTGGGGCCTAGGGGTTTGAAGAATCAGGGTTGAGGCTACTCCATCCAAAACTCTGCTTAAATTGTCAAGGCCTTATGAGTTCAGGGTCGACAGGCCAGAGAGTGACGATGAGTTGAAGGTTTAGGGTTGAGGGGTGCCATATAGGCGTTAAAAGGTTTGGTGCTCAGGTTTGAGGGTTTAATTAGGGTTCTGCAAGGGCTTCGGGACTTAGAAGTTAGATCTGAGGGCTTCGCAGCTGCTTTATGCCTCAGAGCCACGTGTTCAAGAACAGCGCCACTTTCGATTTTATACAATCGTCCACGGCGTTCGTGGCTGTTAGGGTTTAGGGCACGGTAACAAGCACTACGGCCCTTTCTGCTGCAAGATCTTGACGCAAATGGAAAGTGGCGGGTTGCAGTGGATTGCATAGGATTGCATGCAATACACGGAGATGTGGCACGAAGCTACTGCAACATGTCCCTGTCGTGACTATACGTCATAGTCTAACAGGCGTGCCTTCATTAGTATCGAGGTGCTCTTCTGACAACTTGTAAACATGCTTAGAAGGAAGAGGCCTGAATACTTAGAATAAGGCTTTGGGGCAAATCATGCCAGAGCTAGAAAGAAAAAGCCCTAAACCATGAAGTTTGTGGTTGTAGTCAGCCTGAGCCCCTTCGTCGAAGCCTTCTTCGTCCTTATGAACCCCCCCAGAGGATATGTAAATCCTAAGCTCCCCTACCATCGAGGCCTAAGCCCCAAATTAACCCGGCAAGGCCCAAAAACTGCCCCCGAAGCACCGGAGGTCTTGTTTCACAAGGTGCACGTTTGTGGTGGTTCTGGGAATCAGATAGCCCCAAACCCCTAACACCCTTAATCTTGTGATGCCCAGGCGTGTACCTCCACGGCGAGGAAGATAGAAATGGCATCACCGACCTCCACAGAGCGCGCAGGCCAATTTTTATGTGGTCCTGCCCTTCGGCCAAGTACTGTTTCGGCTCCTTACTACTATTGTTATTGTTGTCATTACTGATAGTGTAATAAGTACTTCTATCATTTGTTGTTGTTCTGATTATGCTGATTAGTATTAGTAGCATTATTCTGACTATGATTATGGTTATTACTACTGTATTATTGTTCTGTTGTGTTAAGCCGCAGCCGAAACCACCGGAACAAACTCGATAGCTTCAGGATTTGATCTTCGGCTCGTGGATCAAGTCCTTGGGGGTTTTGATGCGCTTGGCTGGGTGCTTCTTAGGTCCCATGTTCGAGTCTAGCTTAGAGTTTAGGGGCTGTTGCCCAAACCCCAAACTCTAAACCCCAAAAGTATCAACTCCCATGCAGCTCTTACGGCCCTGGGCTTGAGGTTGCGGCGCGCTGGTCTGCAGAGTGCTGGGATGTCAGAGACGACCCAAGCCCAGAAATCTTCAACCACCCTTAGAGGCTGAGTGCCCTACTTGGAGGTTCATGGGTAGTTATAAGCAGGGTAACTATGCTTGTAACGTATAACCCAGATGAGGGGACTCATAATCTGACTACCCCTGCACCTCCAAGTAGCCCCCAAAATGCTAACGTTTTCAACTATGGTAGGTTGATACAAAACCCTAAAGGTTAAAGGTTACCTGCTCAGCTACTAAGAACCGCTTCCGTGCCGAGGATCACAGCGATGGTGTGTTTAAGGGCTTGGTCAAGTAATGTAGGGGCATTATAGTTAAAACAGGGTTTGGGGCCCAGTCTACTATAATTAGAGTAAGGAACGCCCCCAAAATAGTATAGGTAATTACGAAGGCCCCTATATTATGGCGGGCGTGCAGGGTTTGGGTTTAGGGTTGACGGGGTGAGCTTCTCGGTTGTAGGATTCGAGGGTTTAGGGCCGTTTAGGATGTAAGTGGCTTAGCGGAAACCCCAAACTCGAAACCCTCCCAAGTACGTGCCGTCTCGTTGATCAAGTCCCGGAAAAGGAGCATCTGGCCCGCTGCCTTCGCCGCGTCACCTGGCGCAAGGTCTCTGAGGCTTTGGCATTGCTTTAGGGTTTCGGGTTTAGGGCTTTAAGGGTTTAGGGTTTAGGGCTTAGCGTTTAGGGTTTGGGGTATCGTTCTGGGGCCTTTGGGCTGACTGTGCTTTTATGTCAGGGCTGGGGTTCTTCTTTCAGGAACCTTGGATCTGTTTGGGTCGTGGGTACACATAACTAGAGCAGGGTTTCGAAGACTTTGATGCGACATTTTTTGACGCAGCGTTTTGCTCCACTCCTATTTATTGAAGCCCTTATGTTAGTCAGCGCTGATGATGCTTCTAAACGTGTTGGCGCCCGCATTCGTAAACCTTTCCTGCATGTTCTCATGCTTGATAGCGCTGGTTGTTGCGGGCGCTTTATCTATTCATCTGCTGCTTAACCTTAAAGCTGGAACTAGAAATGGGGACTACAAGGACGGATGTTCACATGTGAAAGACTCCATTTCACTCCACACCCTGCATCCAATGTCGAGCATTGTTTCCCATCTCCCATCATCCGGGATGAGGCTTTACAACCCAAGCTGCACACTGCAGTTAGTTTCTCTTGTAAAGTAAAAGCCAGAAAGTTGGAATATGATTATCCTAAACTCTTTATGGTAAATTATAAGGTATCCTACCCTGAAACCATATTCCAACTTTCTGGAGTTTCCTGTATGTCCTTGCGGCCGCGAGACATCAGGGTCGGTCCCTACAGTAACGGTTAGTCGGGCTCGGGTTGTAGGACTTGGACCGCAGGTTATGATGGGCAAGCGGACCTTTTGCAAACTGCACGGAGC